TTTTAAAGCTTACCATTAATTCAAAATAAAAGGGTGTTTTGGTTTGTTTTCTAAAAGCTGAAGTTTCACCTGCTTCAGCTAGAGCACCCTCTCCCTATAAACAGCAGAGAACAGCACGGGAGGGAGGCCAGGGCCCCCTCCATGTCACAGGTGCTGTCACCTCCCCTTGCCACCTGGTCCCTGTTGCTAAGAGGTGAGCACTGGGCTAAGCTACAGGACTGAAGATGTAGACAGCACCTACCATCAGATTCGCTTTCTTCAGAGTCTGTTTCTAGCGGCTCCAAGGACTCCGGACCCGAAATGAACACCTGGCCTGTGAGCCCACTTTTCTCCCGCTCTTCCATAGCTTTCAGGAGATTCCCAAGCTCCTTCACACTACACGGCCCTGGGTTTGCTAAGTCAGCGATTCCTGCCGAGGGGATGCTTGCTGTGCTCCTTTCTTGTAAAATCTCAGTCCTGGTGACTCTCGAAGCAGGGCTCTGTTCAGCCTCTGTGTCCTCGTCACTTGAATGAGCAGAAGCACACGGCCTCCCAGACAGGCTGAGGTCTGCCTGCGGCTCCAGCTCTCTGCTGGGCACTTCGGGCCCTGATTCAGAGCTCACGCTTGGGGGAGCCACCATCGGGGCTTCCCTGCCTCTGAGGGGTCTGGGGGAATCACTGTGTGGACTCTCGATGGGTCCCAAAGACAGAGCACCTCTGCTCCCCCTGATGACAGACTCTGCCCAGGTCTGAGCGGCCTCGTTTGCCACAGGAGCAAGTGACGCTGGCTTTCCTGGAATGTGAGATTCAGCACCTTGATGCCAGACAGTGCTCAACCCTCCAGCTGGGTCTGTCCTCTCTGTCCTGCCACCGCTGCTGGCCACGGGCTCCTCTGCAAAGTCCTCGCTGCTGGCGGGCTGAACTTCAGCCCCCAGGGCACCTTCTCCGCCTCTCACTTCAGGCCCTGCCTCTGGCTCCCCACTGGGACTCTCCCCAGCCTGCTCCGCCACCTGCTCACCGCCCCCCACATGTGGCT